AGTCTCTCAGTCTTTTCTGGGTAGACTTATGTGGTATATATCCTTTATATTTGAATTGCTCAGACTCCCTTTTCTCTCATGTGTGTATACCAGAGGTGTTCCTTGTGTTATGTGCCTTCTCCTGTTGAGGTCTAGTTTTTATTGCTTTTGGCTTGTTAGTAGGTGGGCTTAACTCCCAAGCTGACTAGCTGTGAGGATTAGTTGTGTCCAAAGTTTGTAAGCTGTTGTGTGAGGGTTGACCCCTCTGATGAGGCTTGGCCCCAAGTGGCTCTTGTGCCTCTAGTAAATTTCCTTTGAGTGTGAATCTTGTAGGTCAGACCCTGTAATGCTCTGGGTTTATCTAAAGTTGGTCTCTGGGTCTGATGATTCTTGTGCTTCTTTGGCTGGGCCCCGCAGCAGAGCGGATTTTAAGGCAAAAAAGATCAACGAGCACAACCACAACAGCCACTAAAGGTAACCAGATACTCTCTGATGTACAAAACAACCATCACCCTACACTCGACATGTATAGAAATATCAATCACACACAAGGAGAAAACAAACCAACAGAAACAAAACAAATACAACGAGGAAAGAAGAAAAAAGAGAAAAAAACAAAACAAAGAACAAATAGCAGAACAAGATAAAATAAAATATAATAAACTAAAAAATAGAATGAACGCAAGAAACAAAATAGCAATACCTTTAAAACAACAACCACAACAACAAAAAGAAAAGAAGAGAAAAACTTGCCCAAAAAAATGGAAAGGAGGAGGCAAATCAAGCTGTGACAAGGAAGCAGGAAAGAAGGGAGAGAGAGTGGATAGAAGAGAAGGAAAGAAAGAGAAAAATGAAGAGAAGAAAAAGAAAAAAATATATATATATATACACCCCCATATACATGGACATATATATCCACATATATGCACCTTTATATATGCCCATATAAAAAACTAAAATTACTAATGAAATAGGAAAATCCAAAAACAACCAACACAAGCGATCAATGAAAAAAAAAAACCCCAAACATCCAAGAGAACCCAATTAACAATAACAATATAACACACCAAAAGAGAAACCCAAACTGAAAACAATAAAATTTTTTTTTTAAAGGGAGAAAAAACAAGCAATAACCAGTGTCAATCTTGGCTGAAGTCCGCCAAGCTCTCCCCAGATTTTCCTCTGCTATACACATACTCCTGTGTGTCTTGTGGGGGCAGAGCCAGCCACCTGGCACCTACAGTGAGCCTGGTCAGCTCTATTTTAGATGAGTGGAATTATGAGGTGTGATTGGTACTTTTTTTACAAAGTCAGTGTTATTTCTGCTCCTGCCTGTCCAGCGGCACTCTGATTTCTGCACAGCCAGAGGACTGGGTGTGCATCTTCGGGTGCTCTTTCCACTGGGGCTGTTGGAGGGTGGTGGGGGGGGGAGATTTCAGAGCTGCTGGTAGGCCTTCCTGTGTCTCAGCAGCCAGAGTTTCTGCTTCCCAAGCCACCCAGGAGAGGTGGGGGCAGGGACAGCGTGTTTAGTAGCTCCCACCTGCAGCCTCTTCTCATGTAGATTACTCAACCCCCAGGTAGTGGAAGCACCTTTGTTCTGACTTACTCCTCTCTTCAGGAGTCAGCCTCAGGCTCTGGCAGGGAGGGG